TGGCACAAAGTCAGGTCTATAGTTGGAGATAAGTTGCTTTAGTGTAATTTGAAGCTCAGCACTGAAGTAGCTATATGGTTAATGGTAATACAGAAACAATATTTTTATTGCTTTCAAACTTACAGTTGTGTTGGCCTTCAAAATATCCATAGAGAACTCAGTTTGAGGGAGTACTCATGGCAAACAGTCTGCTACAATAATAAAATACTAAAACATAATCAGCTTTTATAGCAGAAAGAAACGTCATGTAACATCTAAGAAGCTGACATTCAATTGGCATATAGTAGATGTTAGAGAGTGTGCATGAAGATAGGTTTAGATATATTTTACTGAGAAAGTATTTGTAAAATAAATTGCTTTGATTATTAATGGGGTAGGCATTCATTGGAAAAATCAAGTTTGATAATCATTAAACTTACCCATTCTAAATGTTATATATATGAAATTTGAGTTTAGTAAAAACCTATGTAACTTTTACTGAAATCTTGTAGTTATTGATTAGTTATTCTTACAATAATGAATGAGCATTTGTATAACTCATTGACTTTACTTGTACAATGAAACTCAGTAAAAATATTATCTGACTTTCATAATCAAGGGTGTAACAATTACAAAATGAATAATTTGATCATACATACATGCAAAAATTAGTAGTTACTTTTTTTTTACCGTAAAGTCAAAGGAATGTAAATGAGCTATGTTTCTGTGTCATCATATAGATAAAACATACAAAAGAGCTACGTATATCTGTAACAGCTTGAAATTGGATAAGACTGTATAGACAAAAAGTATAAAAGAGCTACATGTGTTTGTAACAGCTTGAAATTGGATAAGACTGTATAGATAAGTATAAAAGAACTGTTTCAGTAACAGCTTGAAGTTAGATAAGATTGTGTAAATAATAGGTATAAAAGAACTGTTTGTATAACAGCTTGAAATTGGATAAGACTACAGATAAGGGGTATAAAAGAACTACATGTTTCTGTGACAGCTTCAAATTGGATAAGACTATAGCTAAGGGGTATAAAATAACTACATGTTTCTGTAACAGCTTCAAATTGGATAATACTGTATAGATAAAAAGTATAAAAGAACA